CCGTCGTTCTGGATATTAACGCCCCAAGCACCAGTTTATGGCGTAGTACCCTTTAATCTTGTAGCTTACGTTTAGTTGTGTTGGTCAGGATACTACCCCGTCCATTTTGTAATAGGATTTTAACCTCCAACGGTGAGCACTCTTTTGTATACTATGGGACTACGACCTTCAATACTTGTCCTGAAGAAGTTTGTTCAATATCTGATTCCTTTTAGTGGAAAGCCATTGTGAAGAACCACCATTCACACTCCTCCAGTTTTGTTTTGTAGCCGCCTTGTAGTTGTTTCGCAGCCGATTTTGTTGTAAGCCATCTCTTCCCCTGTATAAGAACCCTGATGAACAGGTAACATATCATTTTAATTGGGTATTTTGTAGATATTGATATATTGATTGTTGCTGACTGAAATTCTTAGTGTTCTTGATTTTGTTTGGCATTTTACGAATGCAAATATTGGGTAGTGCCTACATGTCACTGTCTTCTGGGCTTATTGTTGTTGTTGAAGATTTATTTAGCATTAATGCTACAATGTCAATTTTGTATAATGATTCGGTTACATATTTTTCTTCTATGCATTTTCTGTAATTTTACATTCTTGTCTATTAAAATTAAAATCAAAATTACGTCACTATGTATTTTGATTATTCATAAAGTGATTTTTTAATTTCACCTTAAACATTTTTAAATTCGAACTTTGGTTAATATCATTATTCAATTTATTTAATTCAAATACTCCCTTTTGAAATATAGATTTACCAGTTATCCTACTATTATAATTTTGCAGATAAAAATCTATACTGCCTCTAGTTTCGTAGTTATGATGATGACTATTTAATTTTGTGAAATTCTCTAAATGTGGTGGTAACAAATGATTTATTAATATGAGTATGATAACGAGAAAAAATATATGAAATTTTTCACATCCACCCATTACATTAATCATGATTTTGAATTTTGAGCTGCCATAACTTATTTTAGAACAAGCAATAACCTTCTGACAGTATATCATTTCGGTGTATTTTTATCTTGTCTTGCCCTTGCAGAAAGAAAAGTAGTTTTCTTGTAAAAGAGAATGTACATGGATTTTTCTTCAAGTTTTGAGTCTTTTAATTGTGTAGTTATGTCTCAGACATAGAGTAGAGAGTAGATTTTTAAACAGTCTTTTTCTCTTTCTAGTTTTTTTTATACGATAAATTTTGAGAACGAGGCAAGCAGCCCCTACTGTGACATTCCTTACGTCACTGCTCACTACTGGCCACTGATGAGTTTAGGTTTAGGCGTTGAAATATTTGTAAGACTTATATCTGTAAAGCCTTCGTACGTGTACCACGGTAAACGTTTTGCAGGGTTAGTTATAACGGTCTATTAATTTTATTGTCAGGTAGCTTTTAATAACATCTTTTCTTTTAACTTACACTCCAGTGGTGAAGCATATGTGCTGCTTATTTTGGCAATATATTGAGATCCTTTTTTAAATATGTTTTGTTTGGCTCTCTGTACACAGTTAATTAGGTGTCATCATTAGTATTAGATTTTTTTTCTTTGTGTGGTGGTCAAGCAAAACAAGTTCCGACTAACACCTCGGGGATGTGTAGCTCTTAATCCGTCTCGAGTCACTGGCGCTCTTAATACCTTAATACCCCCCCTCCCCTACTCATCGCTTTATTGAGCTAGGGCCTATATTTGCACGCCACGTGACAGCTGTTTTGGATTGGCCGACCCTTGGATTTCATTTATTCTAATTTACAAATTCATTAATTGATTTAAAACAAGGAAAGCGGAATCACCCCACCATTTCCTCTTATTTATAAAAAAGGCGTGGCAATATATTCTATGACTCTCCCTAACGGGTACCAAAATCCCTGCATACTCCAAATCCAGATTCGTTAAGAAAGTATCTCTACGGAGAAATCTGATGCCAGTTCAATAGCCTAGACTTAAAGTGTTATATCCCTATAAACAGATAACGTGTCTTGAGGTAAGGAATCAAACGTGTCGACCCATCAGACTTGGGGGCAAGAAAAAGTTGGATAGGTGCTGATTTTTAAGTTAGCCCAAGTTTTTTGTTGATAGCACCGCAGCTAAAGAATTCATAGATGGCCTAATGAGATTCGGCTATGGCAAAGTGCTAAACAAGTTGCCATCTGAATGGCAAGTGACCACTTGAGTCCAACTCAGGACTTTAGCGCCACTCCTAAAGCTCTGCCATTGACGATGAATACCCGTTAATGTCCATGCTGATCTAGATACCTCATCTGCAATAGTGGGTCGATGTTGTCAGTACATTGACTGGCCTTTTGGCCTTCAGTTGCTGCTCAGTTTATCTGATTTCTATTAAGAATTGACTTACTTGGTCGACCTACACCGAAGAGCAAGAAATCTCTGGAAGCCTCTGTCAGAGTACTCCTGAGTTCTTTGCTTTAATGTGTATATCTGCCAGCATACACTCCTCTCCCTTCTTTGAACGTAGAGGATAGAGTATTGCCACTTGCAGTTAATTAACAGCTCACATGTTGTTGTACACAGTCCAAGCACGCATGCCTGCGTGCGACAATTTCTGTTATGGCTTCCGATACCTCACCTAGTTCACCTTAGGTGGCTAGAATAGAACAGAAATTATTAATTTATCGTCATCAACAAGATTTGCCCTCGAAATCTCAGCCTTGGTACAACGTGCGATCATTAATTATACCAAGGTTGCATCGTGGTGATGTGTCATCTATTAAAACAGATTACATGGCCTATACGACAACAATATCTAGAGCGTCCTGAGACCTATGCAAAATGTAACCTAGATTGGGCATGATGATATTTAACTTCCGTTATTACTGAACATTAGAACTTTGGTGGTTACCTAACCGGAGATGTTCGTACATACTGTTTCATAGTTATCACCAGCCATGTGGAATTTGCTATCACAGACAAAATGTAACGCTAGTCTACCATAGATGTACCTAATTTCTATATGTTGTTAATGAAAAATAGTACTACAGCCATGTTCGATGGCTAATCCAAACCATATGGAATTTGCTATCACAAGCCAAATGTAACGCTAGTCTACCATATACGTTCTTAATTTCTATATGTTGTTAATGAAAAATAGTACTTCAGCTGTTTCGTAACTTGTCATGTGCATATTATTGACCTGTTCGATGGCTATTCCAAACCATAAGGAATTTGCTATCACAAGCAAATTGCAACGCTAGTCTCGCATAGATAAAACCTAATCTCTATCTGTTATTAACGAAAAATGGTACTTTGGTGGTTTCCTAAACTGTCATGTGCATTCCGAGAAAGGTATTCCAAGATTATCACAAACCACGTGGTATTTGCTATCACAGGCAGACTGTAACGCTAGTCCCGCATAGATGTATCTAATCATTGTCGTTCATTAATGAAAAATGGTACGTCGGCTTCTTCCTAACTTCTCATGTGCATCCTTACAATATTGTTCTATAGTTTTCACAAACCAGATGGAATTTGCTATCCCAAGCAAAATATACCGCTAGTCTCACATAGATGTAACCAATTTTTATTTGTTATAAATTAAAAATATTATATCTTAAAAACTTCCTAGCCTGCCATGTTCAAACTTACAGTCCTGTTCCATGGTTATCACAAACCAGATGAAATTTGCTATCACAAGTAAATGAGAAAAGATTGTTGACCATACATTGTTGCTACGTTGTCCCAAACGCTTTCAGTGTTGTTATTTGTGCAACGAAGTTCAGTATTGAGTCATTTTTCCAAACATCTTCATTCGTCCTTGGTGTGGACTATCACAAGCTAGGTCCATGTTGTTATCTCAAGCAGCAGTGTCAGAACGTTATCCCAAACGTCATGCTAGGCATAATTTGCAGCGCCAATGAGGCATCCATACTAACATTCATTTAACTTGCACCTAAAATAGATCGGTTAGTTGATAGTTACCTGACGGTGTCGCACCTTCAGAAGAACAGGCCTGCACGCCACTTTCTAATTTTCGTCGGCGACGAAATTAACCTTCAGGCGATCGTCGGTCGGTATCTCGCTCGACATTGCACATCTATCGGCCAACCTTCTCGCCTGTTTTCTAATTCGAAATGTTCAGCGGATCCTCGACACTGCACTGCACGTAAACGGCGCGCGCCGAATAACGTCTTGACGGTCGGGCACGAGAGCAAGGAATGAAGTTTTATAGGAGGCCAGAGGGGAGAAAGGTAGGGGGAAGGGGCGCGGTGCCGCTTTCCTACTCTGCGTGAGTGCCTTGAAATCGTAGCGGTTGGGCACTACTACGAGGGTACTACGATATGTATTCTAAATATACTTCGACGAGGTCGGAACATAATTATTTTAAATCGCATGTAAAAATCTTGTATTTCTGCCATATTCCACAATATTGCATTATTAGTCTTATCCGTATTATTAAAATAAAGAGTGATTAATCGCACAACTTAAATTTTTATTATTTATAAGAAATGTAGATGTAAAAGCTGTACATCCATACAAAAAACATCTTTAAAGATTTTGTTTATGGAGTCATCATTATCATCACAATTTACTTTCAATCAATATTATTAACATTCAAAATAAATATAAAGGTAAAAGTTGTACGTCCACACAATGAGGACTTGTTTATAGATTATATAAAGGTAACTGGTATACCTACATCCCTACAAACAACGATGTTTAAGGGTCAATCAACGTCATTTCTATATTCTTCTATAATAGGAAAAGTGGAAGTGGAAAAGTGATTCCAACGAGCTATGCCATCCGAAAGAGAGTTTTCACGGTAAAGTGAAAATACGAAATTTAAATTTGAGTTTTTCGAGCAATCTTAACTTTTTTCTGTAAAATGAATATAAATAGTGGGTAAACAACTTTCCACTTAGAAAATTTTGGTGATTCCAATGGCGTACCAGATTATTTTAAATGCATGAATTTCTTAATATACAGAAGAATAAATCACAAGCTTTAGAGGAAGAGTCAATTGAATGGGAAAATTACATTATACATAGACAAGATGTCGAGCCAGCCGGTCGATCCGGCAAAACCTCCTGACAATAAATGCAAATTCTGTGCTAAATTTAGTTCGCTAAGTGAAGTTAAGTGTACTAATAGTGCATGTGATACTCTTCTACATGGAAAATGTTTCGATTCAATTGCCAAGATTGTGCCAATGAGAAAGGAAGAATTCCGTTGTAAATATTGTTTGGGAGACGGCAAGGTGTCTAGTAGCAGTACCGATGTGCTGCTCTTGCATAAAGAAATTGATTGCCTTACACGAGAAAAGCAATTGCTAGAAAAGTATGTGAGTGAACTAGAATTTTCTAATACTATTTTGAAATCTAAAACGCCTGCTGTTTCCTCTACACTGAATTCGGCTGTTGGTTTTTTTCCGAACTCGTCGTTGGTAAACACATACTCGCAAGCAGCAAAAAAAGTCTCGCCATCAGCTGTGCTGGTTATTAAACCCACTGACATAAACATGGGGAACGCAAAATTGGAGCAGGAGCTGAAGTCTAAATTCAGGCCGAGTCAACTAAATGCGAATGTTACTGGTACTAGACTCAAGTCGCTTCAAAATTTGAAAGATGGTCTCAAGAGGCAAGCTGGAAATGCATTTAATGTTTATGAGCCGAAAAAACTTCGTCCGAAGATTGTAGTCTACAGTGTTGATAAATCAGCTGCCGAGGATGCCCGCCTTTCTGAAATTATCATCGCAGATAATGAATTAGATGCTACGGAAGCTGATATTCGTGTGGTTACTAATTTTAAATTTAAGGACGGTATCAATGTTGTCCTTGAAGTTACTCCTTCTATTTTTAAAAATGTTATGGGCAAAGGATTTTTATATATAGGTTGGAAAAGATGTAATGTAAAGGAGCATTTTAATGTTGCAAAATGTTTCAAGTGCTATAACTATGGGCATTATAAAAAAGATTGCAAGAGTTCAGCTACGATTTGTCCTCAATGTTCAGGAAATCATGAAAAGCGCGACTGCATTTCTTCTGATCTCTGTTGTATTAAGTGTAAGACTTCCAACAATAAGTTTAAAACAAATTTTCCTACTGACCATTCAGCTAATAGCACTCAATGTTTGTGCTACCTTAACAAATTAGGACAACTTAAGGATAGAATTCAATATGAACAATAAAAACATAAAAATTGGCCACTTGAATTGCAGATCTATTTTCACTCATTTTGATTGTTTTGTTCATCTAGTATTGGATTTTGACTTTGATGTTATGTGCGTTTCTGAAACTTGGTTGAACAGTGATATCTCTAGTGGAGCAGTTGGTATTCCAGGATTCTCTTTACTTAGAAATGATCGCTCTACCAGGGGTGGAGGAGTTGGGATCTATTTTAAAAACTCTATGGCTTGCAAGCAAATACTTCAAGATTTTGATGGTTTTCTGGGAATTGAGCACATCTGGTTGTCTATAAAAACGCATGGTGAGGTATTGATAATTGGTGTAATTTATAGGCCCCCATCAGTAAGCAATAATGATTTTTTGGATTATCTGGACAATGTCCTTTCCTTTATTACTCCCCAGTTTGATCACATTATAGTTCTTGGAGATTTCAACGTCGATCAATCGTATGATAACGAAGTCAATCATTGCTTTATTTCATATGATTTCCATCAACTCATTACAGAGCCAACTAGAATAACTGCCTTATCACAAACGATAATTGACTTAATTTTTACCAGTGCAAATGAAAGAGTTGTAAACTCGGGTGTTATTGATAGTTTTGGCATATCTGATCACAAAGCAATCTACTGTGAGCTCTCACACCGAACATCGCGTCCTAAGCCGTTCATATTAAAATACAGAGATTATAGAAATTTTTCGTATGATGCTTTCAATTCAGACTTAGTAAATTTACCTTGGATATTTTCTACATAAATAATCTCGATGATAAAGTAGCGCTGTTTAATAATCTAATAGTTGATCTTTTTGACAGACATGCCCCCGTTAGAACCTCTCGCATAACAAAACCTTTTGCTCCGGGGGTTACCCCTAACCTCAAAGCTATGATGAAAAAAAGGGATCAAGCTTTGCAAAAGTATAAAAAATCCGGTAAACTGTCGGATTTTGCTATATATAAAGAATTACGCAATTATGTGTGCTCTGCTTTGAGACATGAAAAAGCTGTATTTTTGTCATCAACACTAAACTGTCGTAACTATAGGGATCTCTGGCAAGCAGTCAATCGCTTCAATATCAAAAGAAAACATAATACAGATATACCTCTACAGCTAAAAGAACCTTTTGAAATTAATAGTCATTTTCTTTCAGTCTTTAGTCCATCAAATAGCTGTCCTGAAGCTACTGCATTTTATAATTCAGCCAAATTTTCTAATATTTCTTTTTCTATTAATTTTGCTAATGTGGATGAAGTAAAAAAACTGGTTCTTGATCTAACGTCTAGCGCATATGGTGTGGACGAAATTAGTGCAAAAATGCTACAATACTCTATTTCTGTAACTGCCCCACACATAACTCATATTATAAATTGCTGCATAGAGGTTGGTTATTATCCTAGTTTATGGAAATATGCTCTTATAAAACCTTTGCCCAAAATAAGCATACCGTCTGTATATAATGACTTAAGACCAATTAGTATACTGCCTGCTCTGTCTAAAGTACTGGAGAAGGTGATCTATTTACAGTTATATGAATTTGTGATTTCTAACCAAATTATACCTGAATCACAGTCTGGATTCAGAAGGGGCTATAGCACAACTTCGCTCCTTTTAAATGTATCAGATGATATTATTAGATCTCTCGACGCTGGCCTTGCTACAGCTCTTGTATTTCTTGATTTTTCGAAGGCGTTTGATACGATTGATCACTGCTTACTTCTTGCAAAGTTACGATATTATGGTATAAATCAATTGGGCTGCCGACTTTTCAAATCTTATCTTCAGGGCCGTTACCAGTGTGTTGTGGTTGATAATAGCTCGTATTCTGACTTCCAGCCTGTGACTTCTGGAGTCCCTCAAGGCTCCATATTAGGACCTTTGCTATTTATTGTATATACGTCTGATATTTTTAAAACTATCACTTATTGCAAGATACAAGGTTATGCTGATGACACACAATTATACCTGTCGTTCGTTCCTAGATTTATAAATACCGCATCTGCTTATATTAATCAAGATTTAGAAAATATTCATTTAATCACAACTTAAACCTCAATCCAGATAAATGTCAAGTTGTTATCTTCTCTCCGCCATGTTATGAAATTTTTATGCAGCATATCGACTTAACATTAAATGGAAAATCAGTCTCAGTAGTTAAAAGTGCAAAAAATCTTGGTGTTATTTTCGACTGTAAGCTCAGATTTGAAGAGTACGTCTCACTATTAGTGAAAAAGACTTACCTAGTTTTAAGGCTACTGTATCGACATGGTGGTATTTTAAATTTTAAATGACGTAAAAAGCTCTCAGAGAGCCTAGTATTACCTATTTTAAATCATGCAATCACGCTTTATTATCCCTTCTTAACGTCTATTTTGAAATACAGACTTCAAAAGGTACAAAATTGCTGTTGTAGATTTGTTTTTAGGCTCAAAAAGTTTGATCGAATCTCAGCTAAAATAAATGAGTTAAAATGGTTGAAACTGGAATATACTCATAAATATTATACTTCTATTTTAGTTCACCGTATTTTATCATCACAGAGCCCTGCTTACCTGAAAAGAAAATTAGTCTTTAGGCGTGATTTGCATGATTTAAATACGAGGTTCACTTATAAACTTTCTCTTCCTAAGTTTCGTTTATCCTTATTTAGAAAATCTTTTTCATATAATGCTGTTACTATATACAATAGTATCGATGACGCGCTTAAGTTTAGTTCTGTACCGATGTTTAAAGTCCTGGTAAGGCAATTTTATTACAATAGTCAATGTATAGTTCAATAGTTTTTGATTATATACTCTTCGCTTTGCGGTTTTGTGTCTTAGGCTTTTGTTTATTTTCATTCAAATTATCTCATATTTTCTATGCTATTTTATATTTGATCACTTCTGATGATTGCATTTTATGTATTATCTGTGGCTTTCTTCCTTGTTAGCTTTTATTTAGGGTTAAGTAGAGTAGCTTAGGCTAGACTTCGCCCTGTTGCAGATTTCTGCATTGTATATAACAATGCTCAATAAAGACATAATAATAATAATAATAATACCGTAAGGAATTGAAGACAAGGATAGATCAATACAGAAAATTGAGTCAGAATTAAGATCGGAACATACTAAAATGAGAGAAGAAATGGAAAACTATATAATAAATGAAATTGAGAAATATAAAGCAGAAATACAAGAATTAAACTACAAGATTAAAAGAATGATGCTCTTCAACGATAACCTATCGAAAAATGTTTCTAGATTAGAGGGCCAAAAAAAGGAGTTACAAAAGCAAATTGAGAATTCTGAAAAAATAAGTATGAGAAAGGACAAAAACGGTCAACTGCTAGCCAAACAAGCTACGGTCAGTCAACTCCAGATGCAACAACTATTAGTGAAATCAGTCAAGTAAACCATGACTTCATCATCAAGCTGGTACGGTCCGAGTTTGAGGCATGTGTTCAAAAGTTTGCGACAAATCACACTTTCGAGGATCGTAATCTAAGAAGACCATCTTCAGGTACCACTAGCAGAGCAACAAAGAAGTATTCTGAAGTAACCGCAGTAAATCCCAGAAACTCAGCCAATAAATCTACCAAAGCAACCGCTCCACAAGGAAGTAGGGTCCAGCAGATGTTAAATCCAAATCCTAAACAACTCCAGGAAACAGTGACGCACAATAGTTCACGGAATCCACCCTCCATAAATGGTGAAACCAGCAGCAACTTACAAACTGTAGTTAAGAAGCAGCGTGAAGTGATGGGAGCAGTAATTAGTTTGACAGCTAACATGAAAATAGAAGAAAACCATAATAAAGAAGTTCACGAAAGTGATTATATTGAGGTCAAGAGAAGAAGACGCCGGCAGCCAAGAATTTGGGACCTCGGTTGGCCGCGTGGGTCAGAGTGTCGTGCTACTGATCAGCCGGCCGGCCGGGCCGCGAGTTCGAATCTCGCCATCGCCATGGATGTTGTGTGTTTGTTTTAGGCAGCAGCGGTGGCCGCAGTAGTAGACTCTTCGGTCTCCTGATCAGCCGCCGTGCGCTGTGCGGGTTCGAGTCCCGTCCCAGGAGAAATGTTTCTCTTGGCCATGGATGTTGTGATTGTCCGTAGGTGGTAGATGGTCTCTGACTGTCGAACGTGGAGGTACCACCCGGCGGTTCTCGTAGGCGGAGCCAGAATGTGTGCATGTTGCATGCACACGTGTTCCCTCGCCAGAGTCCGTGTGGCGTCCCCCCTTTCCCATGTATCCCCCATAGCCCCACGGTACCCAATGGGTGCTTAGGCCTTAGGCCTTCGTGGTAGTTGGAGAAAAAAAAAAAAATTGGAATCGCCACAGATGCTCCAGACTCCAACTTCCAAGGTAGTGCAGAAATGAGGGAGAAAAAAATTTGGGTCTTTCTTAAAAAAGTTAAGGACTGGACTTCAGACCAGGATTTTATCGACTACTTAGCTCAAAACTTGAAAGCGGATAAAAGTCAGGTTCATGTAAAAAAAGTACAACCTTATCACCAGGTAAAAGACAACAATTGCTATTTAGTAGGTGTTAATATATACTTGTTATCGATCTGTAGTCTATGATGTAAAATTCTGGCCTAAAGGTGTCATAATTAATCGCTTCAACTTTGCAAAAGGTGAGAGGTTTCTAGATAAACCTACAGTAAGAATACACAGTGCCTATTCAAATGATAGTGTCTTCCAGCAATCAAAAGTCCGTACTTTTTCAGGAGTACAGTAGATATGTCTGATTCACACAATGATTTATCTTTATGCCACCAAAATGTGCAGTGTCTTAGTAATAAAGTGCTCTGTCTAATGCGGTACTTCTGCAGAAATGAATCTCGACATGGTGGGGTTGCAATTTTAGGCTAAGTGTCAAGAATAAAGTGGTTGATGTCTCGAAATATTGTATTGAAGGTATATGTGAATGTTGTAGTATTATTTTAGAAAGTTTTAATATTATTGTTGTATGTGTTTATCAACCACCGTCTGGTAACTATTATGTATTTTTAAATCTACTGAATGGCCTACTCAATTTCATTGACATCAATAATCGTCGAGTTGTGATTGGTGGCGATTTTAATGTAGACTTTTCATCAAATAATAATAATTTACATTTTCCGCAAAATGTCATGGGATGTTACAGTTTGAGTCACATAATAAATGTTCCCACTAGAGTTACAACTTACTCCAACAACTGTTTGGATAATTTCTTAGTGAATTTTGATAACGATTTTAATGTATCTGTTGTGGATCATCTGACCATTATTGTATAATCCTCAATATCCGGGTATCTAAAGTGCAGTGCAACGAAGCGAATAAGTATTCAAACATTCGAGACCTTTCTGAACAGAGTATACAAAACTTCAGACTAAAATTGAGTCAAGAAAGCTAGATGGAAATGTACCAACAGTTTTCTACGGAAAGCGCTTGTGATACATTCTTTAACATCCTCTTGTATCATTTTAATGTTTGATTTCCTTATAGAAGAATACGCCTTGAAAGACGGAAGAAAGTGGTTTTGCCAGTCGAGTTAGACTGAGAGACAGAGTTACGTTATGTCATTCTTTGGCAAAGGCTGATGGCAGGTACAAAGAACTTAGTAAACAAGTTACAAAAACTTATAGAGAACAACTTAGTAAATATAGGCAACAATGTGTAGATTACAAAATCGATTCCTCAAGCAATCGTAGTAAATGCATGTGCAAGATTATTAGTAACGTACAAAAAAAGATCTTAAGAAAACTATAAATATAACTAAGGATGGTGAACAAGTACCAGATCAAATTTTAGCAACCAAATCTAATGAGCATTTTACATTAGATGTGAAAAACCATACTGCCGATAAGAACTTTTCCAGTACTAAGATTAAAATGCTTTCTAAGTCGATGTATTTGTCACCAGTTATAGAGAGTGATGCGTGCTATCTTGCTTCTAAGTTGAAAAACTCGTGTGGTTTGACTCAATTTCAAATAATTTGCTTTGCTATCGTGGAGATCTGTTCGCCATTAGCATACCTAATTAATCTTTCTTATGAACAGGGAACTTTTCCAAGTTGTTTGAAACAAGCCTTGGTCATACCACAGCCGACGTCAACTACGAGCCGTGATGAAAGAAAGGCAACACCGCGCTCGGACGGCATGGTAGTGCTACCTGTGAACGTCGGCCGCCAGCGGCTGTGTGCTCCGTCTCCGTGTAACGTTCAAGAACTAAAATAAATTTAATTTTGGAAAAGAGGACAGTTCGATTCGATACAAATCATCTGAATATGAAATGGCTCTAAAAAATTTAAAAATACGAAATAATCGTGATATATATGAGTCGCTAATGCAGTTAACCTAATTAAAAGTATTTAGTTTACGTTTTTTGGTGTCAGCACACCAACGCAGCACACTGTGTTCCAACAGGACCAGCTTGGAAATGTGGAGTTACCTGTTTGTTTTTAATACATTTACTTTCAGTTTTACTGTTATTTTTCAATTTTACATAATCATTCAAAATTATGTTTGAAGAAATAGACAAAAGCTTAGATAAAATATCTGCATAACTGCGGCCACAGATGCAAGTTAAAGAAAATTCACTGTATATAAAGTCAGACTGAATGCTGAGCAAGGTTAACTGACACAAAATAAATTTTTGATTATTGCTTTTCAAGAAGAAAATTTCCAATCTATCTACATTAATAATAAATTCAAAAATGGCATACATATATAGAATATGATTGGTACATAACTGGTTGGAATTAACAGTCCTCCTCTTTGCAAATGATCAAAATAAACATTTGTTGTTAATGAACCTTTTTCTTTAACTATTAGCGATTTGCATATCTCGCAGTTTAGGTTTTTAGAGATAGCGTGTGAAGCATATCCAGATATATAAGTCTTAGTACTATCCTCTATGTCACAATTGGCTACGTAATTTGTCTCAAATACTTCACTGAATATATCCAAAACTTCAGGATTTTGTTTGGTATCCAAGAAATCAAAATTTTCTTGAGTTTCTAAGCAGTTTTGGAACCTTGTTTTAATTTCTGCTAAAGAAAATGACGATTTCTTTTCATTGAAAATATGCTTCAGCCGTATTTTTTTTCAGCATTTAAAATTTCATCATATGACACATTGTAATTGCAGCCACATAAAAGTCTATAATTGCCAAATCGTTTTTCTAAATTATCAGTGGTGAATTTTCCAGGCAATACATACTCAATGTCAAATTGATTAAATGAATATTCAATTATATTAAGTAGAGTCAGCGTGCTTTGATATAGAGCTGTATACGTTTCTGGTGTCAGGTGTCCATTATTATTCTCTAGATTATGCCATTTTTCCAACCATATCAGGAATTTTTTTAAAAATTGTACTCTATAATCATATTTATTGGTAATAGGCTTACAAAATTCGTTTCGCTTCAATTCTCCTTTTATTACACTTGTATTACTGACAATATCCCACCAATTCCTGATTATTTCCAAAAAGTGTGCAGCATCATTAAACTTTAATTCTTTCATAGCAGCTATTGTTGAGTGATGGAATAAATTATCTATAAAATTTACATTTTGCCTTTCAAATGAATTTGGATGCAATGTTTTATAATTTAATTTATATGCTTTCTTAACTACAGCTTCTTTTTCCAATTGATATACAGTACGAATGTTTTCAAATTTAGCATACTGAATAATATCATTATTGTCAAAATTAGGATATACAAAAGTTTTGTCTAGGTTTTTTAAATTAATCCAATTATTTCTGATACTCTTGAAAATATGCACAACATCATGAGTTAAATATATGTTCTTATCAGGATTATGTGGATTTGGAATAGAATAATTTTCTGATGAATCCTTTGCTAATTTCCTGAACATTGCTCTATTAATTCGGTGATTATCAGTAACAACACAAATAACTTCAAATCCACATTTTTGAACTAAATTTATCACATGTTCAACCAAAGGTTTTCATCACCTGTTAGATTTGAAACTGGTAGTAATTTGATAATTTCTGTTATGTTTCCAAATGCTGAAGATAGCATGAAGGTTAAAACAGTTTTAGCTATGTCATTTTTATTTGAAATTTGAAAAATACAACCAGAATTTGCACGTTTTCAATAGTTGAAATCCTTAGCGTCCTGAGGCGCGAACAGCCACAGTCACACTTCTTAGTTTATTTTTAAAGCACAGAAGCACTACAACTGAAGTATATTTCTCATATATTGTAGTCACCGATCACTTTGAACACATACACACACTTTGAAGCTTAGAAAACAAGCTTATCTCTTAATTACAGCCTCTGCGATTCCAAAATCATAAATTGAAAAGGTTATGTTTTCTCAGCGTTTTGAGCGGCGGGAGTAACACTACCACCTACGTTGCCAGATTTCTTTGTTCACGGCTCGTAGTTGACGTCGGTGGTGGTCATACCTATCTACAAACGGAATGATCCAAATGACTATGCCAATTATAGAGGCATCAGCTTGCTTTTAAGTATATCTAAGGTGTTTGAACTCAACACGAAGAATCAACTAGTGAATTTTTGTAGCAAAAATAATTTTATATCAGATAGTCAGCATGAATTTATTAGTAAAAGAAGCACTGAAACTGCATTATATAGTTTTGTAGAACATATTGTGGCTGCACTAGATCATAAAAAACATATATGTGGTTTATTTATAGATTTCTCTCGTGCGTTCGATTATGTGGACCATGAGCTACTTCTTTTCAAACTGCACAGGTATGGAATACGTGGCTTGCCATTGCAAAAGTGAAACATCAGAAGCAAATATCGGTTGGCCACAGGGTTCAATTCTAGGACCATTTTTGTTTCTGTTGTATGCTAAAGATTTGTCCGACTTTATATCTGAAGCTGGTCCTGAATATAAGGTTGTGGCATATGAAGATGACACCA